TACATCATAACAGTAGGCATGTATTACTAGTGTATTGTACTTTTGTAGGCGTAATGTTTAACTCATCATGGTTATGTGTTGAGCCCCCTATATCCGTACTTACAATATTTTCATTTGAAGTTATCAATATTATTAAATTCGTTCTAGGAAACAAGCAACTGTAATATATTCTGTCAGCATTCGTGCTTTGGTAGAGGCCAATGTAGCTGCAATTCCGGTTACCAACTCACCGGAAATTTAGCGACGGAATGCCAGATCGTTACCTGTGAAGCCCCAGTGTTTTCCTCTTGTCCAACCACACTAACCAGTGGTTCTTCTTGTGTCCCGCCCACAACAACATGTGGCACGGGAACTATTTACTCCTACAATCATATCTGTCAGTTATCATGTGAATTAAGATCTGGTTATAGCTATGAATTACAAGGGCCTAGCCCGGGATACATCCAATGCTTAGCGACCGGACAGTGGAGCTACTACACTGAGGTGTATTGTACAATTGTCAATAATCCACCAACAGGGGTGAGTTATTAACTATTACTGTATTACATTTGATTTTGTTTATTCTATAAGCCAGGCTCCGGAGGAAAAAATGTTTAATATGTTGTAACCACCCCTTTTCCCACAGTTTAAATATTCAAAAATCTGTATCTCATTAACCGTTCCCGAGTTTTTAGTTAAACACCGTTTGTGCGTCTCAGAAAACCGGAGCCCAGCTTTAAAGATAAACAGTTAGAAATGAGAGTTGAGCTAAAAATAAAACCGAAAAATATTAATTTAATTGAAAAATATTTAGTCTAAAATTTCGTTATTAAATTACTAAATAAATTATTTCTGAGGGTGCTGTTTATGTTGATGAGAGGGCGAAGAGGAGACGGATGATGGTGATAGGAACATTAAACAGAGGATAAGTGTAAGGGTGGATAAGGATGATAATGATGATGATGATGATGAAGAGGACGAAGATGAGAACCTATAATGGTGAGGAACATTAAACAACGGATTAAGGATGGATGAGGATGAAAATGATAAGGATGATGATGATGCTGATGATGATGATGAAGAAAAGGACGAAGAGGAGAAGGATGATGGAGAGGAATATTAAATAGGGAATACTGGGGATGGATTAGGATGATGATAATAATGACGGAAGATGATGATGATGATAATGATGATGATGATAATGATGATGCAGATGAAGATGATGACGATGACAATGATAATGAAGACGACGATGACGATCATGATGATGAAGGAACATATCCTATATTAAGTTATAGACCTACTAAAACTATTGCATTTTTGACATTCACATTTTTAATGTACAGTGATAGTCCAATTTTCTGATAAATAATCATGTCTGAAATTGAAATTTACAGGTAACAACATTTAGTGGTAACACAATCATGGTTGAAGAAAATACTTTTGGAAATGCGGTGGCGGTGTTGAGAACTGATGACGTTGACGCTGCATGGGATGCGTATACATACACAATAGTTGAAGATGTATACAACATTATAACAATTGTCGATAACCAAATATACCTTCGTCAGGCTCTGGATTATGAGTTACAAGACAAGTAAGCCTATTGATGATAATAATAATAATAATATTAATAATAATAATAATAATAATAATAATATTAATAATAATGAATATGAGATAATAATAATAATAATAATAATAATAATAATAATAAAGGTAACAACATTTAGTGGTAACACAATCATGGTTGAAGAAAATACTTTTGGAAATGCGGTGGCGGTGTTGAGAACTGATGACGTTGACGCTGCATGGGATGCGTATACATACACAATAGTTGAAGATGTATACAACATTATAACAATTGTCGATAACCAAATATACCTTCGTCAGGCTCTGGATTATGAGTTACAAGACAAGTAAGCCTATTGATGATGATAATAATAATAATAATAATAATAATAATAATAATATTAATAATAATATTAATAATAATAAATATGAGATAATAATAATAATAATAATAATAATAATAATAATAATAATAATAATAATGAATATGAGATAAAGATGATATGGATAACGATGACAACAATGATAGAGATAAAGAGGAGACTAAATGATAAAAATGAAAAATAAATCGTTGATTAGGATATTGAGATGATGAAAATTAAAATGAGGATGATGTAGACGATGACGATGAAATTGATGATAATGAGTGTAATGATGAATGAAAATTTCCTCTGTAGTTATTCGGTTACAGTGAGGTCAACCGATTCAGCTGGATTGTGGGTAGAGCAGGAACTTGCCCTTCAAGTTCTTGATACCAATGATTCCCCCAGTGGCGTGACGGTAAGAACACTTCCAAAATCTTAAAACCAGCCCTGGTAATAAATTAGTAGAGTTAGGCACAATGATTGGATTACCATCGTAATGCTTAAGTTTCTGTTAAAAAGGCTTAAATATATTTATTATCATTATTGCTGAAGAAAAATTCATTTAATCTTAATTAATAATGATATTAAGCCAATTTGTGCAATCTGAAATTATATCATTGTCATTCAGCGCCACCGAACATTCTTCATGTGATCGATTTTGGCGCTATACAAGTTTGTTCGATTAATTGATTGAAGTTTACATCGTACGAGATCTGTTCGTCGAACATTATAAAGACCTATGTAAATAAAATAAGCCGTCCTTTTCATAGATGCAAGATTATGTGTATTGATTTCGTATTATTATGTTAAATAAGATTCATATAAACTACACAGCAGATTAATGTCAAAGAAAACTAATGGGGCAAATATTCAGTACTACGGTACTGTACCCTACTTTTATATTTATATTATATATTATATTATATTATTTTATTTTATATTTTACTTTTATATTGCTTTTACTAATACGGCCACTCTATAAAGGTATCTTAATACTAATATATATAGGCCGATATATAATATATAATTATATAATATATAATATATACATATATAATATATATAATATATGTATGTATATATATATAATATATATATAATACATATTATGTATATATAATATATATAACATCTTAATATATATAATACATATATAATATATAATACACACACATAAACAATATATATATATATATATATATATATATATATATATAGAGGTATATATATAAAGTAAACAAACTTGATAGTAGGAAGCTAAGTGGTGTTTCTTCATTGCAGATTACAAATGATAAAGTAGAAGAAAATACTAATGGTAACACGGCAGTCGGGTTTCTTCAAGCTGTAGACCAAGATGCCGGACAAACATACACATATACATTAGTTGATGACGCTCAAGGCAGGTTTAGCATCTCTTCTGGCAATCTACTACAAGTGAGTCCTTTTATGTAGCAAAAACAATTATATCCTAATATCTTACTTAGTTTATTCATATGTTTCGATTCAATTCAAATTCAAAATATCTTTATTGGCAACTAAAGTAAACATTAATTGAATATACATAAAAACAAGTCAAAAGCAGAAATAGGAATCCAACACTAGGTTCATCTACATGGGCCCACAGTGTGTAAGGATGTTTTTAACACAATGCACTGGGAACAGCATTCCCTTTATTAGATTGGATTACCGTACAGCTGTCTCTTATACACATCTAGATGTGTATAAGAGACAGTATATAAAGTAAACAAACTTGATAGTAGGAAGCTAAAGTGGTGTTTCTTCATTGCAGATTACAAATGATAAAGTAATAGAAAATACTAATGGTAACACGGCAGTCGGGTTTCTTCAAGCTGTAGACCAAGATGCCGGACAAACATACACATATACATTAGTTGATGACGCTCAAGGCAGGTTTAGCATCTCTTCTGGCAATCTACTACAAGTAAGTCCTTTTATGTAGGAAAAACAGTTATATCCTAATATCTTACTTAGTTTATTCATATGTTACGATTCAATTCAAATTCAAAATATCTTTATTGGCAACTAAAGTAAACATTAATTGAATATACATAAAAACAAGTCAAAAGCAGAAATTGGAAAAAGAGTAAAAGCATTAAAAATTTAAAAAGATAAAACAATAAGGGATTAGCATAAGGCAGCCACAATAGAAATTTACAGAAACCAATTATTATGTTTATATATATAAACTGTACATAAATATATATATATATACATATATATATATATATAAAGATGTATCATTGAGGTATTCTGCTGTATTTTGACTGATTTACTCTTTCAACAGGCTACTGGTGTATTTTCCATACAACTGAACTGAACATATTCGTCATAAGCTCGGGCCCCTGTCATAAAAAATTATAAAATAATATTAATATACATAGCAATAATAAATATATCACACAAAGCCACAACTTAAAATTTCAGACAGCTCTCTCTGATGCTGAATGCCAGCAACTCTTCAATGACGCGTGCTTCAACTATGAGAGGCAACAGTACCACGATATCATAGTTGCAGTTCAAGATAACGGCAACCCAACAAAGACAGAGTACCACACTCTGAGGATATATATTGAGAATACGAATGAGCCACATGCTGGACTAGAGATCTCCTCAAATGTTATCGAGGAGGCATTCACATCAGGTGAGATTTAATGAATTGTTTACAATTAGGTCATTTGATGAACTTATCAGATACAAGTTGTGATCATAAACTATGCTACTCACTACTCCCTGGTGTTGAGGTTGCTGGAGTGGAGGTTTGTGGTGTTGAGGTTGCTGGTGTTGAGGTTGCTAGTGTTGAGGTTGCTGGTGTTGTTGCTGGTGATGAGGTTGCTGGTGTTGAGGTTGCTGGTGATGAGGTCACTAGTGTTGTGGTTGCTAGTGTTGAGGTTGCTGGTGTTGAGGTTGCTGGTGATGAGGTTGCTGGTGTTGAGGTTGCTGGTGTTGAGATTGCTGGTGGTGAAGTTGCTGAAGTGTTGACGTTGCTGGCTTTGAAGTTGTTGGTGTTCATGTTGATGTTGCTGGTGTTATGTTGTTACTGCTTATGAGATTGGTACGGCTAAATACCCTGCTGCTACTATTAAGCTAAGCCTGCTGCTGCCACCTCCTTGATAAGTTATCAAAGATCATATTCTAAGATCTTTGTATGATATGAATAGGATTTGCTTTAGCATGATCTCCATCCCTTGACTGGTGGAAATGTAAAAACCATCTTCAGTCAGTCGATTTTATGTACTCTACATTTATACAACTACTACGAGAAAACATCAAATACTAACATTATGTGCAAAAGACTATTTTATTCAGCTACTACAACATGCATACGCAATAAATAAAGTTTACAAAAATATTGTCCAGAAACGAAATTGTTTGCAGTGGTTAGTCCAAGAGCATTAGTGTTTAACCTGGAAATTTTTCAGGATAGGCAAAGACTTATGAGTAGAATGACATACTGAAAGTCCTAATATTTTGAAAAGTGTAGAAAACAATTAAGAGTAATAACAATCATATATACTAAGAATAATAAGTGGGATTTGTAATGTGCATAATACATAGGTCTCTATGCGCTGTAAATTATACAATATATATATTATATATTGTATTATATTATATTATACCGTAAAACCTCCAATTGAAGCCCTGGGCTTCTTTTTTTGCGAACTTTGGATGTGGGCTTCTTTTTGTTTTTGCTTCTTTTCGAGATGGGCTACTTTTCGAGATGAGCTTCTTTTCGAGACTACATTTGCAAAGTAAAGAGGGGTGCTTCTTTTTAAAATGAATGCTGTAAATTTTGTACAATTTAAAAGAAGTGCATTTACCTGGCATTAAATTACCTAAACTAATGTATACACCAAGCTAGACGCAGGGTTCCCGGAACACGCCGCCCTAAGTGGCGTATGCGAAGCACAACTCAAAGTCAGAAGTGGAACGTGAAATTTGGATATGGTTTTGTAGTCAGATTTGCGAGAAAAACTTCATCTACCCATATTTCTCGACTGAGACGACAGTGGGAGCTGTAATTTTTTATGGCAGAGAGATGGTACTACATACCCCTAATTTTTATTATAGAATTTACGCCCACAAACCTTGTAGTTATTTTTGTTATAATAGAACATTTTTATTTTTTGGTGACGTCACACTCACAATATAATTAACATCCATACGTCATAAGATTACGTCACGCATAGTTAACATGCATACGTCAACTGAATAATTCTTATTTAATTTTTTTCCCTTATTTTAATTTATTTCTTTCGACAGTGTACTTTCTATCATATATAACTGCACTGTTCACTTAGGCCTTGTCTTACTAATAAATAGCCTCACTGTCCCCCGCTACTCAGTACATCAGTAGGCTAGGCAACAGAACATGATCTGCCATCCTTCCCAGGTTTTCATGTAACATTTGCATATTGTTGGCTAACCAACTTATGCTTACCGTTCCTCCCACCCCCCACACTACAGTACAGACGTATGCTAGGTCAACAGAACATGATATTGCACCTTCCTTCCCAGGTGTTCATGTAACATTTGCATATTGTTCGTTAACCAGCTACGTGTATTCCTTTGTGAAAATGATTACCGTGGCGTACTCATTTTCACAAAGCATTTGCATATTGTTCGCTAACCAGCTGCGTGTATTCCTTTGTGAAAATGACTCATTTTTCACAAAGCATTTGCATTCCCTCTTGGCTCATGAGCACCGTACTTCGAAATAATTGTCTCCATATCTTCGCTAATTAATCACCGCAATTTAGCTTACACTTATGCATGGAGTAACTGGAGCACTTACAATGTACAATAATCATTTCACTACCCGACAAACCCCAAACTTTATTCATGCATTACATAAATAGTTTCAAGTTGCTGTACAACCGACTGCAGACCATTTCCGGTCACACATTACTCTCCATAACGCAGCACCCCCTAGTTCCGTCACCTCTGGTTTATTTACTTATTTTGTTTTCTGAAATGCATGCACAGTGTATGTATTGTACTACCTCGAAATAAAATATTTTGAAAAGCAGTCCATCGGCTTCTTTTCGAGATGGGCTCCTTTTCGAGGCTAATTTTGCAAACTAAAGAGGGGCTTTCGAGATGAGCTTCATCTCAAGATTAAGCACATTGGGCTTCAATTTAAGGTTTTACGGTATTATATATTATATTATATATTATATTATATATATATATATATAGTATAGTATATATAAATTAAATATAAATAACATAGGCTAAAAATCTAAAAGAAGGACATTACAAACTAAATATAACATGTGTAAAAATACATAATTAAAATAAAAAATAAATATAAATAACTAAAATAGACTAAAGATCTAAAAGAAGGACAATAAAAACTAAATATAACATGAGTAAAAATACATAAAATAAATATATAATATACCCTGTTATACATGCTATTGCTAACTACTGGCTACAGTTGAATGCAATTTTTTTAAAGCCCTCTAATAATGCAATTCAAAATAAAGCAATTATACACCTGTAAATTTGAGAATTTACAGGTTTACTGTATAAAGCAATTAATACACCTTTACATTTTCAAATTTGTTCATAAGTGTAATAATGTAAAAATCACAACAAATATATTTAATTGAAAATCATAGAATTTTGAAGGATTATTATTATGGTATCACTCCAAGTTTTTTGCCAACTTCTATGAAGGCATCAACTGCACGATCAATCTCATCTTCGGTGTGGGCTGCGGAAATTTGCACGCGAATACGAGCCAAACCTTTGGGAACAACTGGGAAGCTGAATCCAATCACATAAATATCTCTTTCCAACATCTCCTCAGCAAACTTGCCTGCAAGACTGGCATCCCCAAGCATAATGGGACAAATGGGATGATCCTTGCCCCAGACTTCAAAACCAGCTGCAGTTATCTTGTCCCGGAATCTTTTAGTGTTTGAAGTGACTTTTGCAATGATGGAGTTATCCTTTGTGATCAAGTCAAAGACCTTGGAAGCACTGGCTACAATTGGAGGTGGGAGTGAGTTGGAGAAGAGATATGGACGAGATTTTTGTCGCAGCATATCGATGAGAGACTGGGGCCCAGTTGTGTAGCCGCCTGCAGCCCCTCCCAAAGCTTTCCCAAGTGTGGAATTAATAATGTGACAGCGGCGATCTAAACCTAGAAATTCCTCAGTGCCTCGACCGGTAGCACCTAAGAAACCGGTTGCATGGCATTCGTCTATGAATACTAATGAATTATACTTGTCTGCAAGATCACATATTTCTTTCAGTGGTGCCACATCACCATCCATGCTGAATACACCATCGGTTACAATCAGTCTCATTCGACTTCCCTGCGTCTCTTGTAGTTTTTGCTCTAGGTCCGGCATACTCATATGATAGTAGCGGAGTCGTTCAGCCCTACACAACCTTATACCATCAATAATGGACGCATGGTTAAGTTCATCAGAAATTACTGCATCTTCAGGACCTAACAGAGACTCAAAAATTCCTGCATTTGCATCAAAGCAACTAATGTAGAGAATGGCATCGTCTCGTCCATGAAACTTGGCTATTTTCTGTTCCAATTCTTTGTGAATATCCTGTGTACCACATATGAATCGAACTGAGCTTAATCCATTACCATAACGATCCAATGATTCCTTGGCTGCCTCTACTACTTCAAGATTACTCGACAATCCTAAATAGTTATTGGCACAGAAATTCAAAATGTTTCTGTTGGATCCCTTAACTTTTATTTGTGCTGCTTGCTTTGTCGTTATTACACGCTCTGGTTTGTAGGTTCCTGCTGATCGAATGGCATCCATGACTTCTCCAAGAACTTGGTTCATCACTCCTAAGGGAGCAGTGCTGTAAGAATGATACTTGTAGGCTGGTAGAGTACATGGCTGCAGGCGTTTTATCAACGTCAATGACATTATGGTAATTTTCTTTCTAAAAATACAATGCTCTTGGTCTCCAAATCTTGTCCTACTACAATATAGGGAGAGCCTTCACTGTAACTGCTGAATCTGTAATAAAAAAACCAACATCTATGTTATGCAGTAATCATATATTCGCGAATAACGATAGTCTGGATTATAAAAACTGGCTTGTTAGACTATGATTACTGTAATCATCATTTGCTATCATGTTTAAATACAATACAGTATTTATAACCGAACACCACTATTATTATATAGACAGTGATAAAAAGGTTTGCCAAACTGCATACACTTAAACCCCTTTCATTACACTCACTGCCAACACAACTTTGCATGCATTTACAGTATAAATTTTGAGTCAACTCGGCCCCAATTTACTGTGCGTTATTACGAAATAGTGCCAAAGTTAAAGAGCTCAAGGCTCGTATGCTTAAAACGTTTAGTCCTAGTTGCAACTTAATCTTGAATATGTATTCATAAACAACGTAGTTGAAGTTCTAATTACGACTAAATCAAGTCCTAGTTTTAGTTTAGCTGAAGACGGCTAGCAAGCAAGGACTATCAAACTAACCAATAAAAAGAGCTCATTTTAATAGCAGATGAAATTTTAGAGATCCGGTAACACTGATGTATATTAAGCTGGCGCCTGCCGTTCTAAACATATTTCCTCATAATTTGTAATAAATAATCATTCGCTTAATTAATTTTCTATATTAATAACTATATTAGTCGTTAACATATAAAGATAGAGAATTTGACCAGTCACTGGAAATTTGCTTTCTTTGGATAACTATTATAGTTGAGCCCGAGCGAGGGCGGCGCCATCTTTGTTGTTATGGTACAGCTTCGTGACCACAACGCGAGGGGATTTTGTGCAAATCAGGAACTAACGCATGTGGCTAGCAAAACATGTTAAGAAGCTAAACTTGTTGTCTCTTTTGTTTAACACACTGAAGATATATTAGACCTGCGTATATACAATCGTTTTTATTCATTTCACTTTATTGCGAGTCACAAAAATCATGTTTTTAGTGGGGTAAATATTTCGGTGATTTAGCCTGACCCTAGGCATGCAGAGGTGTCATAATCAAGGTTCGCGTGATTTAGTCGTTGTGCTAGTTGAAGTTCGTTTTAAGAATACAAAATGACGTAATTTTGGAGTTTTAGCTCGAACTACAACTAATGTTCGTTTTAAGAATACCAGGGTTAATCGTTGCCTTTGTTATTCATTTACATTCACATAACAATAATTATAAAAGCCCCCTTTCGCCACGACCTGGATCGGCCAGCTGCAACTGCTGTCTGAAAACTAGAGGCCTACTAGCCTAGCTAGTAGTAGATGCGATGGAGCCCACATAATAACACGAGGAACCAACACATAATATAAACAACACATCAATCAAGATTTAATGAAAATACACATCATAGGTAGGTCTAGCACTAGCACTAGCTAGGCCACTACTACTAGCTAGAACTACACCTAGGCTAGGCCTACTTCCACTACTACTAGGCCTAGGCTAGCCTAGGCCTAAGATGTAGGCCTAGCTTAGGCTAGGCCTACACTAACTAACATGTTCTTGTACACCTTCAGTTAACAACACCGGTTTGAAAATAGAAAAATGGGCCCGATTATCTAACATTAGACTAGGCCAGAAACAATCTGCAGTGTATTGGCCCAATGATAAATAAATTATACTAAATAAATTAAACTCACGTCCAGCTTCCCGACTTCAATATCACATCCAGCATGGAACAGCAATGGATTCACAGCCCATATAGAGGGCGTATATCATTATCGATTTACTTTATAGCTCTATGGCGTAAACAGAGGTCTAACAATACAAAGACCAGGGCCAACCAAAGTGAACTTAATCACTGAGCAGTGCTGGTTGGCCCATCCCCAGTCACACGTATCTGTAACGAAAGTTTTGGGGTTTTTTGACGTTTTTGTTCATTGTGAGTCAATAATATATACAAAGTATATACCTAATTATATGTATGCATCTATTGCGGTGGTGTGATGTGAGATGAGATGTGGTTTAATATGTATCTTCGTCATTACATCATCATTCATCATCATCATTCACTATCATCATCATCAAAAAGCCTAGTATTAATAGTTGTTGCCAAGTCGGGCTGATCGCTTGCATATTAATCTCGAGATAAAGCCCATTTCGAATTGAGGCCCCTTTTTTAGTTTGCAAAATTAGCCAGTCGAAAAGAAGCCCATGGGCCTTTTTTCAAGATAGCATAGGCTTCTTTTCGAGATATTACAGTCACATACACTGTACATCAATTTCAGAAAACAAAAATAATAAATTAAATACAAGCTTGATTTATACAGTAATTTAGGCGATTTAACGCCAGTTAAATACACTGCATGATACAGATTGATGTTACAGTGGCCTTATT